CGCCCCACACACACACTCAGCCACTGGGACAGTGGGCAGAAAGGCAGGGGATCCCAGGACACAGGACATATCAACACCGGACCAGTCCTTGCACTTTTCCCCAATTCCTCCTCCAGCAGCAGCCTTCTGCCCTCTCCTCCCAAACGTGAATATGCTCGATTGAACATTTTTAGTGAGTGCCAGGTGCCGGGGATGCAGGTAGACAAAGCGGACAGGACTCTATAGCCGGGTGGGAAGAGGGTCCCCATTTTCCCCATCAGAACCTCCACCCCACACTGAGGCTCCCAGCCCTGACTCCCAGAACCCAGCCCAAGCCCTGCACCCCATGACCCCTCACTCAGTGCTCTCTACCCCCCCTCCCCCCCATGACCCCTCACTCAGCGCTCTCTACCCCCACAGCTGGCGGGCCACTCCCTGACAAGCTGCAGCAAGCCCTGCTGCCCGTGGTGGACCACAAGCGCTGCTCCAAGTGGGACTGGTGGGGCAGTGCCCTGAAGGAGACCATGGTGTGCGCCGGCGGGGACATCCGCTCCGGATGCAACGTGAGTCAGCTCCCTGGGCCACAGCCACTCAGTCCCACATCTGCCTGGAAGGTGCTGGAGGAATCTTGCCTGCTTGACCCCTTCAGCCTCCAGGCCAGCAGGACTGGGAGGAAGTTAGCTAGTTCAGACACACATTCCCAGGCCGGGTGTCATGACCTTTGGATTCTAATCCTAGTCACACACGGCCTTGACCCTGGTCCTCAGGCTTCCCCATCAACACAGCAAGGCATATCGACTTCTAAGGTCATCTTCGACTCTGTTGTCCTGAAGTTATAATTAAACCAAACTATTATTGTATTAGAAGTGAGTATAAAATGAAAAAAAGAGAAGTATGAACAATAACATGAATAGTTAACTGTGGTACTAATAATGGGAACGACCATTTATTAACTGCTTCCTTTCTACTAGGCATTGTGCTAAGATGATATATCTATCATCTCATTTAATTCTCACAAAATCTCCTAAGACTGATACCATTTCTCATCACAAAATTGAGGTTCAGACAGGCCAAGTAATACAGGTTTCTCAAAACCCCCGAAGTCAGAATCGACTCCTTACAGCTCAGACATGGCTCAGCCCCCCACCCACCCCCCACTCTCTGACCATTCCAGGGTGACTCTGGAGGACCCCTCAACTGCCCCGCCGCCGATGGCTCCTGGCAGGTCCACGGTGTGACCAGCTTCGTTTCTGCCTTCGGCTGCAACACCCGCAAGAAGCCCACCGTGTTCACCCGTGTCTCAGCCTTTAACGACTGGATCCAGGAGGTGAGCAGGCAGAGGAGCCAGGAGGGCTCCTGAGAGGTGCTGCTCCTCTGAGAGGTGCCCAGGGGAGGGGAGGAGGGGGGTCAGAGCAGCAGATCCTGAGGAGGGGCTCAAAGGATCCGAGTAAAGGGGTCCTTGGTGACATTCCAGGGGGCTGGGGGGTGCTTTCTGCTACGGTGTGGCCCCAAGAACTTCGATAGCTTCTGGGTGGAGCATTGAACTGCTGAGCCCAGCAAATGTTTATTTCAGCAAGTGTTTACAAAGTGCCTCCTCTGTGCAGGTCTTTTCTTTGTCCAAGCATTGCCCTGTGCGGGGGACAGATCATTAAATGAGCAGTAATGATGAGCTGTGATAGGAGAGGCTCAGGCCCCAGTGAGAGTGCAACTATCACCTGGGGTTGAATGGTGAGGGGGAGTAATGTTTGTAATAGTAATAGCCACCCTGTAGAAACTGCTTAAGTATGTACCAGGCATTGTAATAAGCACCTTAGTTAATATAGTTTAATGAAATAAGCCCCATGAGGTGACTACTATGATTACCCCCATTATACAGATGAAGAAACTGAGGCTCAGAGAGGTCAAGTCACCCTCCCAGGGCCACATAGCTAATGAGTGACATGGCTGGGAGTTTAACCCACTTCCATCCGGCTTCAGAACCTGTGCTCCTAACTAGACTACTCTGTGTCTCCCCCGCCCCCTTGTTTTTCCAGACCATGGCCAGCAACTAGAACCAAGGCCTGGGTGGAAGGACGGATCCACACTCTTCGCAAAAAAAATATTAAAGATCTCTCAGAAAATTCCAGCTCCAGGCTTGTTTCCTTCTTTAACTCACCTCTTCCCCTTCAGCCCTTTCCCAAAATGGTAGGTCCGCTATGTAGAGACAAGACCATATGGAACCTTCTCATATGAAGATGAGAAAAAAATGAGACCCAGAGAGAAGAAGGGAAGTTGCTACAGGGTGACCAGCACCCCAGTTTGCCTGGGAGTGAGGGGATCCCAGGACACAGGGCTTTCGGTGCTGAAGCCGGGAGAGTTGGTCACCCGCTGTAGCCACGCATGATCATTGGTTTTTCAATGCAGACCACATGGTAGAACCTGCAGGAAAACTGACTTTGCCAGCTCCCTGGGCGGCTCATGCTGGAGTGGGAAGGGCCATGCTTTTTCTGCTTCCACTGACAGGCTGGGGAAGGAGGACTACAGTCCTTCATTCATTCAACAGCATTCATTCCTCATTCCAGACGAGGGTGCAGCGGGGGAAGATGACATGGTTCCTGCCCTGAAATAGCTCCTTATTTAGAGAGAAATAAGCCTATCAGAATCATCCATCAGAACACTTCCTAGCACCTTCTTTGTGGACATTTCAGGGCTGGGATCAGCTGCCTCCTGCACACCCCCCACTGGGGATCGAGCCTGCAACCCAGGCATGTGCCCTGACTGGGAATTGAACCTGGGACCCTTCAGTCCGCAGGCCAACGTGGTCTATCCACTGAGTCTAACCAGCTAGGGCCACCCATATATCATTTTTAATATGAATGTTGTTTCATTACCCACCTTTTAAGTTTTTCCTGAATACCATGAAAGGAAATATGGTCCCAGTGAGGACACACATATAAATCTTTTTTTAAAATACATTTTTATTTATTTCAGAGAGGAAGGGAGAGGGAGAGAAACATCAATGATGAGAGAATCATTGATCAGCTGCCTCCTGCACACCCCCCACTGGGGATCGAGCCTGCAACCCAGGCATGTGCCCTGACTGGGAATTGAACCTGGGACCCTTCAGTCCACAGGCCAACAAGCTCTATCCACTGAGTCTAACCAGCTAGGGCCACCCATATATCATTTTTAATATGAATGTTGTTTCATTACCCACCTTTTAAGATCATACTTCTAATTTTGAAAGTTGAAAAGGTACAGCATAGCAAATAATGTAGGACACAGCCAAGTAGCTTCCCTCCAGAACGGTCAAATTTTACATGTTTGCTTCATGTTTTCTGAAAAGAATAACTACAGTAAAGGTGGAGACTCCTTTGTACTCTTCCCAGAGGTCACCATCATCATGGGTGTGGGGTCATTAACCCTATTACTGCTTTTCCTTTAGGGCACATAGTAGGATAGCTCTTGCCTGCCCCCTTCAAGTTCGGTCTGGCCACGTGGCTTGCTCTGGGGGATGATCGGAGAGACAGGACGATTTGCCAAGCTCTCCTTCCCTTTGCTCTGGCAACTGGTGGCTACAGGTCAGCCGGGTCCCAGAGTGAGGAGCCAGGACAGAGCCTCTGCTGGCCCCTGCTGGACATGTAGCACAAGCAACAAATAGACTCTTCATAAGTCACTGTGACTTCCCGTGGAGTATAGAGGGGAGTAGGACCAGCTGGGGGGAGCCCTTGCTCGGAGGGAGCAGATGCACACACAGATGTGCACGCAGTGCTGACAATGAAGCCGGAGCCCCGTGAGTGGTTGTTGAGGTCCAAGACTGCTGCCACGCAGCCAAAAGCAACATTAAAAACAACGAATTCCTTTACGCATGAGTTTGTTACAGAAGCACGGCTCCAACCTATTCTGACTGATACAATGAGTTTGGCCTTTATCTTTCTACTTGATGCTGTTATATTTTTATTGCATATAAATATCTATAAACAATATATTGCATTGTTGGAGTATTTATTTTGTAAGGTAACATTTATTTGGTAAATCACCGAGGCAGAAAAAGTAATTCCTAGAAAAATGGGCTTAGGAAACACGCTATAGAGGTAAAGGAAGAGCCCTGGGGCTTGGGAGTGAGGAAGCTGACGGTAATAGGCCTGGGGCAAGGAGGCGGAGGGAGAGGGCGAAAGGAAAGGGAAAGGAGTGCTCCCGGGAGGGGGAGCACTGGCATTGCTGGAGTTTTTAAAAATACATGCATGATGCCCGGCTGGCGCGGCTCAGTGGTTGAGTGTGAACCTATGAACCAGGAGGTCATGGTTTGATTTCTGGTCAGGCCACATGCCCGGGATTGCAGGCTGGATGCCCAGTGTGGGATGTGCAGGAGGCAGCCCATCAATGATTCTCTCTCATCATTGGTGTTTCTATCTCTCCCTCTCCCTACCTCTCTGAAATCTATAAAAATATATCTTTAAAAATATATGCACGGGCCCTAACCGGTTTAGCTCAGTGGATAGAGCGTCGGCCTGCGGACTGAAGGGTCCCAGGTTCGATTCCAGTCAAGGGCATGTACCTTGGTTGTGGGCACATCCCCAGTAGGGGGTGTGCAGGAGGCAGCTGATCGACGTTTCTCTCTCATCGATCTTTCTAACTCTCTATCCCTCTCACCTCCTCTCTGTAAAAAAATCAATAAAAATATATTTGAAAAATATATGCATGGAAATAGACTCCCAGATACAGAGAACAGACTGATAGTTGCCAGAAGAGATGGGTGTTGGGGGACTAGGTGAAAAGGGCAAAGGAATTGGGAAGTACAAATTGGTCAGGGGGACGTGAGCACAGCATCGGGAATATAGTCAGTAATATTCTAATAACAACTGTGTACGGGGCCAGGTGGGTACCACAAGTATCAGGGGAATCACTCTGTAAATCACATGATTGTTTAACCATCATGCTGTACCCCTGCAACGAATACAAAGAAATACTGACTATAAACGAATTAAAATTTTTAAATAAAGAATACATGCAAGGTTTCATGTCATATGGATGATTTTGCTTCTTTTACCCAACATCATGTTTCTGAGGTCTATCCAGGCCGATTTCTATACCTCTAACTCATTGCTGCTGGTTTATAGAGTCTCCCATTGCACAACACTAGTTATTTATCATTCTCTCCCTACGGATGGACAGTCACAGCAGGGCCAGTTCTCTGTGGTTACAAATAGTGCCTCAGTGAATGTCCTTGGACATTATCTCCAGGTGCACATGTGTGAGTTTCTCTAGGGTATATTCCGGGAAATGGAATCGCTGAGTAGGAGGGTGTGCTCATGTGCAACTTTACCAATTGCCAAATTTCTCAAAAGTGAATGTATCAACAATACTTCTAAAAAAATTTTTTTTCCCATCCACTGCCTCTATATATTACAACTGCCCACATTTTTCTTAAGTCTCTCCCACAAACTCTCCTCCAGCCCTTACCCCCACGCCAACTCCTATAAAAGCCCAAGAGGCTCAGGTCTGGCAGGGCCTGAGTGAGGGCAAGGAAGAAACTGGGTCAGGCACAGCAGAGACCTCTGTGTCGTGGGAGTGTGGGAGAGGATGGGAGAAATTCTCGGACCAGCATATGTTAATAATCTGTGTTGAGTCAGATAGTGCCGGGGGATAAATGTAGCTGCCAGGTGTTCCAAGGGACCACAGACTTGCAAAAGCTGGAGAGCTACTTCTTTCTAATGGGCCAGGGAAAGGCCCTTGCACAATTTTCCAAAATAGCTGTAGGATAAAGGGCAGTCAAATGTGTAAAATTCCACCCTGGGGCTGGACAGTGGGTCCCAGGGGCCCTCCTCCACCCAGCCTTACAGTGAGGCTGAGACCTGCTATGACACCTTTCTCATACATGGGCAGCAGAGAAGTTAGGAAATCTTGCCTAAAAGTTTATCAATAATTCAATTTCCTCTTGTTTAATCTCCAAGTTTCAACAATTCAAACCCTTTAAAAACCATATAGTCACATCCTCCCACAACCACATCAAAATTACAACTGAACTACAGAACAACCATCATTCAGAACTGCCTGAAATCCAGCTGAACAGAAGTCCCATAACTAAGGCTAAAAGAAGTCTTCGTCTCCAACAAGGTAATCGCTGATGTAAAGATGGTATTTCAGCCCTAGCCTGTTTTGCTCAGTGAGTAGAGCCTCCGCCAGTTTCGATTCCCATCAAGGGTACATGCCGGGGTCGCAGGCTCATCCCCAGTAGGGGGCGTGCACGAGGCAGCTGATCAATGATTCTCTCTCATCATTGTTTCTCTCTCCCGTCCTCTCTCTAAAATCAAAAAGAATGTGTTAAAAAAACAAAACAAAACAAAACAGTGAAAATGCTTGAACTATGTAGCCACACGAGCTGGACAGAAGTGCGCAACAATAATGCCTTGGTTCATGGGGAACAGGTTACCAATCAGACACTCTTTTCCTTCACCGTTCTAGACTCAAACCCAAACCAAATTCAGACTCAAACCAGCTCAGTATGACTTTAAAATGTCAGTTCATAACCATCAGCAACTGGGAAGTCTTGGGAAGAGGCACACAGGACTACGATGGATCCTCCCAGACGCACGGCCGCACCCGGACGAAGTGCTACATACGCACGGCAGGTGCTCCCTTCCGCCTGGGTCTGGACTGAGGCAGGGCTACTGAGCAGCCTGCGCCCCCTTCCTCCTGGGAAGTGACTGCTCCGGGCGCCGCACAGGACCGCCGTCAGCACAGCAGCACCCAGCCTTCCCTCTGGCCTCTCCCCTCGGGTGGTGCAAAGACTCCAGAGTCCAGGCTGTCACTTCTGGGCGGGGCTCCCACTCAGCTGCGCGCGGCTTCTAGAACGTCTCAGTTCCCCCTTTTCATCCTCTTTCCATTTCGCAGCTGGGCCAACTGCGGCTCGGAAAGACAAAGGACTTCTGGGAAGTGGAAAAGCAGCCTAGGCTGTACCCCACTGTTCCGCACCGTGGGCGGGACGGAGGACGGAGGACGGGGGACGGGGGACGGAGGACCGAGGCCAGAGGAAGAACAGAGCCCTTCCTAGGTTAAAACCATGAAGTTGCGGAGGACCCCTCCCCAGGCCTAGAGAGACCCGGCCCCTCTAACCTATCCCCTTTCCACTTCCAATTTCCGGCA